CTAAACCATTATTACAAAAAAAATTTTATACAATTTAAAAATAATTTCTGGCTTTAAATAATCTGTTAAGAAGTAATAGGAAATGAATTAAACTCTCTCTCGCTCATATATATATATATATATATATATATATGCTGACGTGCCTTACTGTCTCGGCCACAAAGGAGCGTTCGGTAGGCAAGGTCAAATTTACTGTTTATAAAATTCAATCTTTTCTATGAATCTCGTACATTCATTACATTTGATACGCCAGAGCAGTTATGAATGTACGAGATATATAGCAGATTGAAGTTTATTATATATATATATATATATATATATATATATATATATATATATATATATATATATATATATATAATTTATTGGAAAATTATAACAGAAATATGTTATAAAATCACAACTAAAATAGCCATTTTGTTTCAACACTTCTGGTATCTTATCAAGTGATGGCGTTGAATCAAAACTCTATATTTTTCAGCACCATCACTTGATAAGACACCAGAAGTGTTGAAACAATATATATATATATATATATATATATATATATATATATATACATACATACATACATACATACATACATATATATATATATATATATATATATATATATATATATATATATATATTATATATATATATTTACGATTAGTGGGAATAAATTATGGCATATGGAATATTAGTGTTCCAGCTTTTTATTTTATATATATGTATATAGCTTTATATATATATATATATATATATATATATATATATATATTAAGTCAACACAACACAGAGGCGACAGGCTGTTTTCTGATTGTTTCATGAAACAGCCTGTCGCCTCTGAGTGTTGACTTCGATGTTCACTTTTATATTTAGATTTACATACGTTCTATCTCTGATATTGAGCAGTTTATCCCATAAATATACCACACCTTAAAACTATATTTCTTCATATATATATATATATATATATATATATATATATATATATATATATATATATATATATAAGAGAGATTATTTCCAAGAACTACTTCATGAATAGTTCGGGAAAATTCATAATCCAAATTCCTTATCTAGCAATGAATTGTAACCAGTTTTCATCGGTTTTGTTTCACGAGTAAACTATATAAAAATAAATACGTATTCGTTTCGTGTTGAATCTTTAACTTTTTTTTTTTTTAATTCGTCTTCTTTCTAACCCACGCCATCGTTATTGATTTGAAAATTTGCATATTTATGTGCCTGGGTAAAAGTGGGAGGAAAATGGAGAGATAAGCATGCACACACCTTTTTGTAACTTAATTAGGTCATTAACAGTGTTTAATTAGTACTCGGCCTTCTCTTTCGAGTTTGTGATAGGAAACCCATAGCCACCATCGAACGTAAGATATTATATATCAACTGATACTATCCAAATTACTTTCGTTTTTTTTTATTAAAAATAAAAATATAGCTGAATATCTATGATAATATTAACGATCGGAACGACAACGTCAAACGAAAAATAATATAAATAAAAAAACAATCTTTTAATAATAATAATAATAATAATAATAATAATAATAAACTAGAGTCAACCGAGTTTCAATTTTTGAAACGCTTCATTGATTTTTGCTTGTAATCAGGCCCGTTACGTTCTTGATGAAATTTCGGTGTCCCGTTTCTCAAAAGCGTAGAATTTGGATCAGGAGTAAAATTCAAAACTGCTAATTCGTCTCTTACTTTATCTTATTTTAATTTAATTTTTTTAAATTTTTTTAGATAAATTTTTATTTGGTTTGTATCGTTTCTTTGTTGTTCCCCTCTCCACCAATTACTTTCAGAATTAGGAACAGTGTTTTGTAAATGTTTGCGTTTAAATAATAAAACTCAGAGCGGGAAGACAAGGCAAATAGAGGTGAGAGGAAGGCGAGAAGGAGAAAGATGGCGCTCTCAACGAAGCACAAATATAAAAAAGAAAATCAAAATGACGACGGCAAAGAAGAATAGAGTAAGCGATAGAAAAAGAAAATAGTTGTTTGTTTGATATTTTATTTCGTTAGTTAAAATTCATTGGTATTTGGTTGCGAAAGCGGAAACGCTAATGTTTGGAAAAAAAAAAGAATTTCAATCTCATCTCAACTGGCTACATTTCAATGCTTTTGTCTCACATGATATTGGTATTATTAACATCGATATGGGTACACTAAAGCTGACACACACTATAAATATTACTACTTAAACTACTTCGTTTTTAAATATCGACCAGTAGTATTTTCCGTAAGCATCTTGCAATTCAAGATATTTTAGAAGATAGGGGATAGATATAAGTCAACCATTCTGTATTATTACTTACCTACTTATCTACTTACTTATTTGCCTATACCTAGGATACTATTTATCCACCTCTTCACGATGGTAAATATAACACAGGGTCGAATTTAATGCAGTTCTCTACATTCTATGGTTAGAAGTTCCAACAGTTCTAAAGCTTCACAGCTATATTACGCACATTCTAGCGAAACATATTCCTTCCCTTCGTACCCCATCAATAGCTTATAAGTTTCACTCCCATAGCCTCTTCCTACGAACCACTACTTTGAGAAACCGACTCCCAATAGGATGCTTCCCGATCACTACAATCTTGTTCAAATCTAGGATTAACCGTTATATTCCCCACGTATCTTCATAAACTGTACTTCTTACTTTTTAGCTCGAGTGGCTCTTTGGCCTTATACAGCGTAAATATTACTGTAAAAAATTGCTTATATCTCGTAACCAGTTAACTTGGCAATCTACGACATTTTATTCACAGGGTAGTTGAATCTTCAGGAATTGCTGCCCGAATTTCTGGGATGAGGAGTTATCATTATTTACATTTTTTTTATATTTTCCTCATCTTTTTTTGATTGTCCTGGGTATGAGGATAAACTACATTTGGCATCAAGGTCTCTGATCGAGAGATTTTGAAAAGCGTGGAACCAACCACCGCTTATTTGCTGTTGTTCCCAGGTCTACACTGTACGAGTAAGTAGCAACTATTAGGGCAATGAGCAAATATTGAACCTTCAAAGAAAACACTATGAAAACATAAAATATATTTTTATATATAAAAAATTACTAACAACATGTATTTATAGTAGAACTACCAACAATATATTTTATTGCAAAATGACCAATATATTTTATCTGTAGATGAAAGCATAAAATTGCGTTAAAATATATTTAACCATGAAATTGTGTTTAAAATATTTAGATTTGATATTAAATAACCAATAGAGCTTGATATAGTGCTTGATATAGCACTTTACGAAATCAACCAATCAAACAGCCAATATGAATGAAATATACTCCATATAATATCCTACAATTTCTTAAATAAATCAAACTGTATTCCAAAATATAACTTCAACAAAACTAGAACATAAAACTCACATATCACTGCCTCTAATAGTTATATTCACACAAACATGTATATTCACAAAAGCTAAGAATCATCATCTATCATGTATTCTGTTGTGAAAGCGGAATAACATCATATTTCTATTACTTCAAAGATCTCAAGAAAATTACATTTCGACATTAAATGACCCATAAGGAGTTGATATGCCGTTAAACAAACAAATCAATCAATAATCTTTGTCAGTGTTATGACAACGTTTCAGCCGCTGTGCCCTCCGGTCTTCCTCAGGTGTATATCGATCTACAGTGAAATCTGAGCTAAACCCTTTATTGTCCAGAAATCCGCTTCAATTATGTATCCTGTTTTGCCTGAAAACAAGAACCAAATTGATCCCAGTTCTAAAAAAAATGGCCAAGATAACATAGGTGCTATTCTGAGATACTGAAGGGTCATGATGTGTGGATGTTACAGCAATTTTAGTATAACGATTGCTTCTGTTTTGAAACTACGAACGGGAATCTATTCCGGTCGTTCTTCGAAAGACGATAAATATTCATATGAATTATGTTTAGTTGTAATTCATTCTTGAATCTCTGAGATTAAGTAATTTTAGAAGACAATGAAAATTTCGGTCTCACACCTTCATTATTGTTTTGACAATCTTATTGTCTGGATAATTCAAAACAGACTTATTGAATAGTATCGAATTGATTAATTTTTTCGGGTATAGAACTGGTCGACCTGAGTGCAAGAATCTAGGCACACTCTGATTAAAAGGGACTTACGTTATATACAAAGCTGGTGATATTTTTAATAAGTTTCTTCTTTTTTAATTTTATAAAGTATTGGGGACTCGGAATTGCTGCTGTTTTTACCGTAGCATGTAGGTTTTACTGAATGCAGTTAGTAGTTCTACGCCCAACCAATTTTGAATTCTAATTGTCCTTCTAGACCAAAGTTGGAAGAACCCGAAATGATGGAACTAAAGAATGGAAATCATCGTATCATTGGCCAGAGAAAGACGTCTCCGAGTGCAACGTTCTCCTTATTTTTGAATTACGGGGGAAATGAGGATGATTCGAGCCATAGAAGTAGATAATGACCATGATAATGGCCAACATATAATTATCATAGGGCACCTCATCGTGTAGATCGTCAGCAATAAATTCAATCCTCACTCATTGGGGCTTAAAAAAAAAAAGCTGCTCTTTGAAAACAAATAACTGAAAAATATTGTTTGTATTAGTGTGTGTTTTTTATGTTATGCTTTTTAAATCTACTTTCTCTCGGATATTTTAATCTACAAATTTAGCAAAATAGGGGAAACGAGTGGTGCCCACGCAGTCGTTCAAGACAATTTCACATAATAATTGTTATAAACGATCCACTTTAGATCTAGTTGATAACGAATGACATAAATATACTACCTTGTAGAAATTAAACGGCTCCCGTGACCTAAAATGTTTGTTGGGGGGGGGCGTATATTAAGGAAAAAAATATGAAGAAAATCGAGGGTAAAAAAAAAAACAAATATGTCTATTCTAATTTTGAAAATATGTGAAACACCTTGGCGAAATTAATTCTTTTTACTATCAAATTTCTGTTTATTTGAGACTAAACCATCCCAATGTTCTGCTTCACAACCTCTTTCTCTCTCTCATGTATTATCTATTACATTCTGCTAATATATTCTCTCTCTCTCTTTCTCTCTCTCTCTCTCTCTCTCTCTCTCTCTCTCTCTCTCTATCTATCTATCTATCTATCTCTTTGTCTTGTTTCGTTCTGTTCATACTTTGTATTTCTGTTTAATTCTGTTCATCACTATCAGTCTATGTTCTGTTCATGTCTATTTATCCGCCCGTGTCTTGTCCGTCTCTCTCTATCCGCCCGTGTTCTGTTCGTCTCTCTCTATCCGCCCGTGTTCTGTTCGTCTCTCTCTATCCGCCCGTGTTCTGTTCGTCTCTATCTATCCGCCCGTGTTCTGTCTGTCTCTATTTACCCGCCCGTGTTATGTCTGTCTCTACCCGCCCGTGTTCTGTCCGCCTCTATCCGCCCGTGTTCTGTCCGTCTCTATCCGCCCGTGTTCTGTCCGTCTCCTCCCGCCCGTGTTCTGTTCGTCTCTCTCTATCCGCCCGTGTTCTGTTCGTCTCTATCTATCCGCCCGTGTTGTGTCTGTCTCTATTTACCCGCCCGTGTTATGTCTGTCTCTACCCGCCCGTTTTCTGTCCACCTCTATCCGCCCGTGTTCTGTCCGTCTCCATCCGCCCGTGTTCTGTTCGTCTCTATCTATCCGCCCGTGTTTAATTCTGTCTGCCTGTCTATCGTTTCTTTTATTAACTAATGCTATTGTATACTTAATACTTCTATTCGCCGATCACCTTCTTCTCTCTTCACAAAGTCACACATTCAGATAGATAAAACTATAAACGGAAATATTTATAGTAATGATCATAGCACTTTTATGATAAACACAAAAGAAATTTTAAAAATGAAATGGGAAATAATATGAATAAAAATTGTTTTGTTGATTTAAAATCTCATATCTATAACGAGAGTTTCAGAGTTTTTCTTTAGTTAAACTAAGTCCTCTACCAAGTTGGCAGAACTCAGTTTGGACTGTTACCCATCGATAAGGCTACAAGAGATCCATGCCTTGCCTCCAAAAGTATAAAAAGTAAAGTTTCTCAAACCAAACAGAGGCTCCACCTGCATGAATTTTCTTTCCCAAATTATGATGTCGAATCGCTTAAGCCTGTTGATATTACGAGTGCAATCTTGAAAAATTATAAGGCTCGATATCAATAGATACACTGAATTTTGCGGAACTGCATTCACTCTTCTGGACGCTTAATGGTAAATCAAAATTCAGTTTTGACTATTAAGTCACCTGAAGAGTGAATGTAATTCCTCAAAACTCAGAGTAGAGATACAATGAAGATATTTAATTATGATTGGGGACTGAAATGGTCACGTTTTAACCAAGGTTGAATTTTTTAAAATTTGTTTTGTCTTTATGTAAAAAATTTGTGAATCTGTCTAAGAACTTTTTATCACCTCTTTTGTATATATATATATATATATATATATATATATATATATATAATTATTTATTTAAAAATATGATTCCTTCGCTACATAAGAGTTCTCATGTTTCAAAACAAAAGCCGAAAACTTCAATATAATTATTTGAATTAAAGTAACAAGCTCTGTTCCATCTTCAAGCGAAATTTTTGGAATAATATTTATTCGTACAATAGTACAAAATGTGGCACAGGGCCAAAAAGTGGGGTTGGGTGAAAGGACGGCCTTCTTCTGTCTTAAATCTAAACTTAGCTAGTCACAAACACTGACCCAAACATACCAACAATAGTCCTATCACCAAAACAACACATTCTCTCCCACATTTCTTACTATATCCACCATAATACTTCAATATCTCTGTGAAATCCTAACTAGTCTCCATATGTACATTTCAAAGTCTGTGGCGGGAGGGGAATAAAAACAACAATTAAAAAAAAAACAATCATTATTCACAATATGAATTAATACTATTTACATGAAAATAAAACAAAATAAGGTTAGTAATAAAACCCACCACAATCCCTAAATGTGGCAGAAACATCAGTTAACTGGACGAAAAAATTGCGGGTTTATAATAGAATAAAAACATTCATCCATCCAAAAAAAAACTCACACAAACACGCACTCATTCAGTCACAACAACAAATACGAAAAAATACGCGCGAAACGAAAGGCATCCCGCAACTACCAGAGAACTGACATCACTGACCACCTAAAAAGAGGGAGGGGATGAATTAAACTAAAAGAAAATAGGGACAGAAATAAAAAGGGCCAATGAGCATACATACCCTAGCTAAGTTAACCGGAAAAAGGAAAACTAAAGATTCAAAACAAAATCTAAACTAGCCTAATATTGGGACGGGTTGCCTCTGTTCAATCCAGGAAGGACAAAATCCTGTACCTAACCGACATCAAAGTGCCACTCCACGTCAACCCCTTTCACTCTACACAGTTACCCAAGATTTACCCACCTTTTGCCGAATTCTGATGAAGGGAGTCGCCGCCTATCCGTCCTAATCTTGACTTTAAGCTGATGCTTAAAGTACAAGGTCAGTTGGGAAGAAATGAACTTCTCACCTCCATAGAATCCCTACTGACGTGTCGACCAAATCACGACTCTCATAACACCTAGCAAGCAGTGGAAAACATAATGTTCAGCCTTCGTCAACGGTGGTGCCACGTTGCTACAAACAGAAGAAGCCTCAAGGACAAAAAAACTTTCCCTGCAGCATGCGAACCATGAGGCCTTCAACGAACTTACACAACGGTGCTACCAACTTGCAATGAAAGAAGACATGACCAAGGGTCTCGACTTCCCCATCAGAGCGTCGGCAGTTTGGAGATTTCTCCAAGCCCGCTGCGCAAAGATTTTTGGCGACCCAGAGGGCTCCATGTATCACCAGCCAGGTGAGGGATGCCTCATCGTTATTGAGACATTTCAACCTGGGCGCCCAAGGCCAGATTGACCGAGCCTCCCGCTTCGTAAGACCGAGCTCGTCAATCAGATCATCATGAACGGACCCCCTAACTAGCATTTGATATAATGCCCTACGAGACAACGCCTGGACGTTGGAGAGGCCATCCGACGCCCGTAAGAGGTGTTTCAGAGAAAGACGACATTCACGGTAGAAGGAGCATTCGGCTCGGGGTAAACGGTGAGCCTCCTTCTCGCACGAGTGCACACTTCTCAAGGATGGGAAATTTCTATGGGCGTCTCCTTCCAGAAGGCGCCCTCCTCATCCGATTCGCGACACAAACGATCTAGGAACCCGATGCGAAGCATATAAAGACGAATCTCAATGCTAGGCATACCTAGACCGCCTTCTTGAAATGTACGCGTTTTTATAAGCATATTCATTATTAAAATTAAAATTACTATGGTAACGGCTACAGCAATTATTTTAAAAAAGGGGCGTAAGGGTTAATAATTTGTATCAATATCTCAGTTACATTCAAAGAGGTCAAGTCAGGGTAAGGATTGGGGTGTCTAAATTTAAAGCGAAATATGACATCGTCTAGTCTGGTTAACCGTTAAGTGTCTATAGAGATTTATTTATTTTTTTTATTTTATTTTCTTTCCTGAAAGGGTTTTGTGTATATAAAACTGTCATAATTAGCTAACATTTGTTTTGTTTGACGACTTCATAAAGGGTTTCTTTTTTTTATGATTGGGTAGGGCTTTTAAACTTTTTATTTAGACTATGGAGTTTAAAATTTGTATTTATTATTTAATTGTTTGTTTGTTTTTTATGCTAATTATACAATGCGAAAATTTGATGGTGTCGGCAAAAAACCGTTAACACATGTCTATTGTTTAATAAATTTTTATTTAGAAACTTGATAATGTGTAGTTTTTCATGTAGGCATAAAGGACATGGGTTATCCCAAGTTTTACAAGTTCTAGTTTTGTTTATAATTTTTCATTTTACTTTTGGAGTTTTATTCATTTCCTTCAAATGCCAAGAATATTTAGATAGAGATGTCTGATTTCTTTTATTTATATTGTTGAGGGAGCTTTTAAGCTGTCTCCACCTGGTTTTAAATTCATTCTTCATAGACCTAATGTATATCATATTAGTGTTAGGACTCTCAATGGATAAGATAGTACATGTGTGTGTGTGTGTGTGTGTATGTATGTATATATATATATATATATATATATATATTCGATCAAATATCAATTGAGATTTGGTGAAATCTCTTCTAAGAACGATAAGGCTGAATAGATATTCTTTGATTTAAATAAAAAAAATGTTGACACACATTATAGATAGATAGATAGATAGTAGATATTCATAAATATTCATTGGATTAAATATAGTAAAATATATATCGAACGCACACACACTATCACGCATACATATATATTGGCATGTTTCTTTCGTTCTATCGAATGAACTGAAATGAAATAATTAATAATTTATGAGAGACGGGATACATCTGAAAATAAACTGGATTCAGTAAATTTAGGGGTAAAGCAAAATACGGAGGAAACAATAAACAGTGTGTGTGTGTGTGTTAGAAAGTAAGCAGTCGAGAGGTGTACGTTTGTGACTTTATATGTATATATATATATGTGTGTGTGTGTGTGTGTGTGTGTGTGTGTGTGTGTGTGTGTGTGTGTGTGTGTGTGTGTGAAAATATAGAGAAAATAGGAAAGAACTCGTTAGGTAAATAGTCCAAAGTTCTTTAGTATTTTTATTATTTTTAAAAAACTGTGCTCGATAGAAAAGTAGAGCCTAAATATAATTATTTATTTAAAAACATGATTCCATCGCTACATAAGAGTTCTCATGTTTCAAAACAAGAGCCGAAAACTTCAATATACTTATTTGAATTAAATTGAATTAAAGTAACAAGCTCTGTTCCATCTTCAAGCGAAATTTTGGAATAACTAATTTTGAAATTTACGCGTTTTTATAACATATTCATTATTAAAATTACTATGGTAACGGCTAAATTATTTTATAATTTTTACAGTGTGAATTACGTCTACCGGCCTGAGTATTCGAGAGACTCAATAAAGGGAATGTGCCTTCCGGTAGGATACGAACCTCTAGCATAAATATACGGTGTACCCACTTTTTTTAATCTCTTTGTTCAGTCCTCACTAAACGCCTTCCTATTATCGCCTTCTGTCACTGTCTTGCCAAACGTTCTAAGCGCTTATGTCTTTTTGTTGGAAAAAGCAAGAAGAAAACATGGCAGTTCGTCTCAAAGTTGTTTCTTGACAGTGGATAGCAAAGTTAATAGGAAAAGATAAGATAGACATCACCGTGAATATATTCAGTCGGGGTCAGCATGAAAGAATTTGAGAAATGCTCTGGACCAGCGATTGAGATTATATATACGAGTAGCTTTCTTGTTTACGTCTTATCAACTTTTTGTTGGTTATTTAAAAACCGAAACATTTTAGATTGTAAGAACAATTCTTTTTGCGAATGAATATTGCATTGATTATTTTGGGGAAAATAACAATAAATTTCCAGCTACAATTTCTACTATTTAATCTATAGCAGGGGAAGATGTTAAATTGATACCTTTCTCAAGGATATTTACGTGTAAATGATTGTAATTCGAACTCGGCTCAAGTCATGCTCATTCCAAAAAGCTATCCAGTACATCACCTGCACATCAACGAAAAAGTAGGAAAATCCTTATAAATTTATAAACGTTTTCCTCTTTCTACCCTATTTAATCATTCTGTCATATTTTATCGTAATTTTTCAGTTCATTGATATTCATTCCAACTTGAAGGCGCCTACCACGCAGAGTGAGGAAACGCGAGGTCTGTAAAAGTTTTCCACTTTCTCCATACATATATATTACTTGAACGCCAATTTTAGTGGAAACACGTATTTGAGTAGATGTTCAATATTAAACAGTATATTTACTTATTTTCATCTAGCGGAATGAATATTCGAGAAATATTATTAGAAAGATATCCGCTCTCTAGTAGGATGCGAACCGGCGTTCCCCCAGTGGAAACTGCTATTAGATCTGACGTGCTTTGACCGTTGGGCTACAGAATAGTGCTGTTAAACAGATTTTTCCCCGATTCTCGAAATATACATTCTTGCTCAGATTCGTATCCTAACTTAAGGACATTTTTAGGAATGGATTTTTAATTTCTTAATCCGAGATCATGTTTCTGTAATAGGATATAAGATATTTAATTCTGTTCTTTGATTGTTAATATTGGGGATGTAGCCTCCCAGATGTCATGAGAATTCATGAATAACATTTTTAGAATAGATAGGGAGGATATTTTAGGTTTCGTATTCTTAGTAATAATTAGGTTTTGAACTTTTTACATTAAATGATAAATCTAAGGTGTTTGTTAGGATCGTTAAGTGATATGTTGCGATTTTTTTATTCTAGTTTATAAATAGTATGCATCTGGTGGTTACGATAGAATAATTTAATGGCGTGTTTAGTTTTGTTTATATCAGTGTGATATTTCGTATCTTTTTTTATCTTTTCTTTTCTTTTTTTTGACATTTCTTTTTCAAATTCCGTTAAGGCTAATTTTATTTGTTCATCGACGACGTGGTCGTGGATCTTATTGTTGATTACAGTTTGTTTTTCTTAGTTCTTTATAGAATAATGTGTCTGAAGAAGAGCTTATTTTGGACTGGTAAATCAGGTAATTTTATAACAGCTATTTTGTGTCTGTGTGGACATTCCCTTCTGTAATTGAGGTGACACGCGTAGGTTTTTGTGATAGAGAAATGTTATATGAATATATATATATATATATATATATATATATATATATATATATATATATGTGTGTGTGTGTGTGTGTGTGTGTGTGTGTGTGTTTTCACGAATGTAGAATATGGAAAAGATTTACTCCTTTTCAACAACTATTGGGATTTCTCAACATGTAGCTTAAATCTTTGATTACATCCTTTTACATTCACTCTTTCACATTATCAATGGAAGAATAAAATAAATATAGACTGGTATTACATTTATCCACTTCATTCTCAGCTTGTTACTTATCTATCTAGCCAGCTACCTGTTAAATTATGTTAATTTCTGTTCATCTCGCTCTCTCTCTAATTATCCATCTGATTAATTATGTTATTATTATCTACCTATTTAAGTTCCACTCCCTCTCTCTCATTATATACCTATTTATGCTTCACTCTCTCTCTTTCTCATTATCTGTTGAATTCTGTTCATATCTCTATCCCTTTATTTGTATTTTGAATCCCATTCATCTGTCTGCGTTTCTGCCTCTTCATCTCTCTCTCTTTCTCTCTCTCTCTCTCTCTCTCTCTCTCTCTCTCTCTCTCTCTCTTATATATTTCTTTTCGGAAAACTCCGTTTCAGTTTCTCTCTATTTTTCTTAGTCGTAGGACATTATGCCACGAACAACAACTATTTTCAAAGTATGCCGCCGGCATTTGGGATCGACATATGGTAAGCTGCTTTTCAAGTTTAATTCTTCGTTTTCTTTTATTTTTGCTTATTCTGTCAAAAGTATTCAATAGATACAAAAGAGTTTCTCTCTCTCCATTTGCTCCCTTCTCTCTCCTCTCTCTCCTCTCTCTCTCTCTCTCTCCCTCCCTCCCATACACATTAAGTTCTGTGAAGATCGATAACAGAACGAGTGGATACCCCTCACTATCTATCTATCTATCTATCTATCTATCTATCTATCTAAGTATATATATATATATATATATATATATATATATATATATATAATGACCCGAAAGGATTTTAATTCATTTCATTTAGACTAAGAATAAAATTCTGAGTGTATGTGTGTGATGAACGCCTAATTTTCTTGCCTTCCTTTTCTTCCTTTCTGTCTGTACTAGTTTCTCTTTTTTAAAACTCGTTTTACTTTGTTGAAAATCTAGACGAAAAATACAAGTTAGGCGTTCCCCATTATCAAAACTCCAAAATTTGGTGAAATATGGATCCGATATCTAATTACCCGCTTCTAATTTCATTGCCTTTTCTTTATTTCTTTATTAATATTTTCATTCTCTTACTCCTACTACTACTTCGTCGTATCTACACAGCTGAGCTTCATATGACTATCAGAAATAAAGAAGATTGTCAGCAGAAAATAAGAAACTGTCTAGCACAAAGCTGAAGCTATTAGGCACACAGTGAGGATCATTCGTTTGTGATATTTAACTGCAACCATCCTGTTACGGTAGACAACCTTTTGTTGCTCATTTTCAATCTTAAAGAAAATACAGAAGGTCCTCGGGTTATGTCGAACCTGACTTGCGGCGTTTCGTAGTTTCGGCGCCATCTCTCATTATATCATACGTCGTCATGTGGCGCTATATGAGAAAGACGGCGTTGTTTCTTCACCGGCTGTACGCCATATTGGATTGTGCTACATTCACTATATCTCGTTTGTATCATTTCTTTTGCGAACTTTTTTGCTTTTCAATTCGGCTCCCAAGTGTAAGGCAGACTCGTGAATGCTTATGTAAGTGAATTCCGACCTACGTCGAAAATCAGGTTACGTCGCGCCGTACAAACGGATCTCCGACAGAATTCAAGGACCTTCTGTACATTGATTTGTCATCTAATTAATCTTTCTCTCTGTTTAGTGTTCATTTTCTCTCTCTCTCTGTCTCTGTCTGTCTGTCTGTCTCTCTGTCTCTCTCTCTCTCCCGCTTTCGCTGCACACATATCATCTTGCACTTTTGTCTCAGTTGGGGGTCAAGAATAACTCGATCGCATCCCCGTGTTGAGGAGTAAACTCATCCCCTAAAATCACCTGTATGTCTACTTTTTTGACACCCGTGAATGTCTGGCCTAGGACTCTATCTACATTTTGAGACATGCAAAATGGGCTTCAATCAACCCTTTTTTTTCCTTCTCGTACAAACTGAATTTATGTCAGCCTCTTGTAAATCTCGTGTAAATTGGACATGTCTATCCCCCTTTTTTCGTCATTTTACATTAAGCAAAGCAATAAAGCCACTAAGATGCAAGAGATTACTAAGTGTGAAAGAATGACATAAACATTAAGGAAAGAGAATAATAAAACTATGGAAATTAAGGAAAAAAAAGATAACGATTGACATTGCATTTAAAATTTGACTAGAAAGCAAGAAACCTAAAGAGTTCCACAAGAGATGAGTGCGAGAGAAGAAACTGTTAGCATAGAACTTACGGTTACATCTAAATATTTCAAATGTAAAAATGATGAGATCTTTCTGCCAATCTAGTATTTCCCATAAATTCATAAAATCTAGGTACAAGTTCATCAAATGAAAGTATTTATAGAAAAGGCATAAAGAAGCCACATTACGCCGATGAGAAAGACGGGATGCCAGATATGAACCAATAACATTGAAGATTCTTCGTTGAATTTCATCAAGAATCTCTAAATATATAGCAGAAGCACCAGGCCAGATGTGACAGTAATATCCATTCCATGGACGAATACTAGACTTAGAAATGTGCAAGATTCTGTCGAGAGAAATTGTCTAACACGACACTGGGAAACAACTTTCAGAGCAACGAACCCAACAATTGACTTTTATCTATATTTTATTTATCAAAACGACAGAATTAAATAATCTGGAAAACGTTGGGATGCCGTAAAACAAAACAAACCATCAAAGCAAATAAGTTCTTTCGAGCCTATCAGCAATTTTATTTTTATCCTTTGTGTGCTTACGTGTAAATATTTACTCAATTTACCATGTCCCTGACTGCTATGATATAATACTATGTTAAAGGTCGGACATATGAGAAATTCTTGTTAAGGCAGTCGGCTTTTACCATAGTGTACCAAAAGATATCTTACGTTAATCTCAAGAAAGCTGCTTTTATTTTTTATCATAATGATAATTTCAAAATACAGTTTACAAGAGATAAGATCATATTTAAATCATTTCTCTACAAACACGCAGGGGGTTACTGAGTGGGAAAGTATATAAAAAATATTAAAGAGCGAGAACAATAAAATAACAGATACAAACATTCTTCATATTATACTCATCACTTTTTCTTTCCTCTCTCTCTCTCTCTCTCTCTCTCTCTCTCTCTCTCTCTGTCTTCTCTCTTCTGTCCCCTCTCTTTCGTTCTTTCCTTCTCTCTTTTTCTTTCCAATTTCTGTTTTTCTTCCCTCTCTCTATTTTTCTTTGCCTTCTCTATTTTCCTTTCCTCTCACTCTTTTTCCCCCTCTCTCTTTTTCTTTCACCTCTCTCCGTTTTTCTTTCCTCTTTCGCTTTTTCTTGTACACACTGGCATTCCCTCATTACCAGTGTGTTACCCAAAGCCAAATAAGGGAGCTAGAGAGAGAGAGAGAGAGAGAGAGAGAGAGAGGGGAAGGAAAGAAGCTAAAGTGTAAATAGAATCTGACAGAAAAGAGATGTCCGTTTTTAATCTTTTTGTTTAATGATCAAATAGTTCTATTACTTTTCAATCTTGCTGTCAATCTATTTTATATGTCCATCTACTTATATCCACATGAAAAATAATTTCTCATTTTTCTTTTTCTCCCTTATAAACATATACGCTCTCTCTTTCTTTCGTAACTCTCCGTCTCTCTATTTCTGTGTGCGTGTGCCCCACTCTTATTTTTCTGCATTTCTATATTTCCTTCTTTTTCTTCTGGTTTTCTTTCTTTCTGTTTTCGTCTTTTTCTTTGTGTCGTTGTCTTTTTCTTTCTTTCTGTCTTCGTCTTTTTCTTTGTGTCGTTGTCGTTTTCTTTTCTTTCTGTCTTCGTCTTTTTTCTTTGTGTCGTTGTCTTTTCTTTCTTTCTGTCTTCGTCTTTTTCTTTGTGTCGTTATCGTTTTCTTTCTTTCTGTCTTCGTCTTTTTCTTTGTGTCGTTGTCGTTTTCTTTCTTTCTGTCTTCGTCTTTTTCTTTGTGTCGTTGTCTTTTTCTTTCTTTCTGTCTTCGTCTTTTTCTTTGTGTCGTTGTCTTTTTCTTTCTTTCTGTCTTCATCTTTTTTTTGTGTCGTTGTCTTTTTCTTTCTTTCTGTATATGTATCTTTCTTTCATGTCTTTTTCTTTCTGTCTGTCTTTTTCTTTCTTTTTGCCTTCCTTTCTTTCTTGCTTTCTTTCTTTCTTTCTGTTATTCTTCCTTTCTGTCTTTCTTTCTTTCCTTCTGTCTTTGTCTTTCTTTGTTTTTCTTTCTTTCTGACTTTCTTAATTTCTTTCTCTTATTGTATGTCTCACTTTGTATGCCTTTCTTTCTGTTTTTATCTTTCTGTATTTGTCTTTCTTTTTTTTGCCTGTTTTTATTTCTGTCTATCTTTCTTTCTTTCTTTCTTTCTTTCTTTCTTTCTTTCTTTCTTTCTTTCTTTCTTTGTGCCTTGCCAAAACCCTCTAGCTTTTTAATCGTTCTCTGTAACATCTCCAAGAGGCAAAGAGAATATTTTACCAAAATAAGAAAGAAAATAATAAATAAAAATGTTTTAATTCAATAAACAAAACCAAACAAAAAAAACCCGAGTCGTACATATAAAAGAAAAGTATTTATTAATATTTTAAATGCCGTTAGGTAAAGCCATGTTTTATATACATGTAGCCTTGAGTGGCAAATTTTGGTGTTTTCGTATTTTGGGGAACCAAGAGGATAAAGAAAGAGACAATGCTAAGTAATCGATGGAGACACATTTCTCTTGGATAATTGTTTGCAATGGCATAAAATAGAGAAATCAGTAAGAAAACTTTTACAAAAAGTTTAACGATTTTCTTGTTAATAATTTATGTTTTCAATTCCTTTGTATTTCTCTCCTATTTCGCAAATGCACTTCTCTCCATATTCAGTGCTCGAATTGGCGCTTAACTAACACAGTTTTTTAAGTTTATATATATATATATATATATATATATATATATATATATATATATATGCCACTGAGGTCAACATGTGCTTTGTGTTTTGGCTCGACTACTTATATATGCTGGTTAATGGTGCATTATGGGTAAGCAAGTTCTATTGTATTATCCTAACGGTTATTGGGTAGGCGGTGACGTTTATGTTTTAAATTATTCTACAATCTATTTGTGTAGGAATAATTGTGGATCCGAATGCGGTTATTTGTAGCTATTTTATAGTGTTGTTTATTAACGTTTTACTCATTATTTATTAGTGATTAGTGATATTATATGTAACTTGATGCTTGTTTGTAACGACTGATAAATTCAATGAGCAATTTTTATTTTAGTTTTCCAATTTTCGGTTATGTTGGACATCAGGAGCCAAATTGTTGTTTCAGTTAAGTTCTTCAATTACGTCTCAGTTATTTTAAAAAAAAATTGTGTGTGGTCAGTTTGATAGATAAGATTTTGTTGGCATTTTTTTTTTTTTTTTGGATTGCTGGGATTGGAAGTAATTCCAATTCTATCGTTCCATATCAACTACTTCTTCATGACTGAATCAGTTTGAATAAGTGTAGAAAATAGAAGAAAACGTGAATTTGGATAATTTAACCACAATTTCGATCCTGATATAAAAAATCATGTTCAAAAAATAGTACAAGTGCAATAAAATAAGTGAACAGATCTTGTCGGTTTACTTTAACGGAACTTGTTTTAATGTATTCTGATATTTAGATATATCCTTGGGGAAAAGTATGACTATCTTCTCCACCAGTTGTGGGTTAAATAGTAGCACTGACTGGCTTCTATAGCATTGGTTAGTAAAGTTTATAATGTTTTTTTTTTCTTTTTTTTTCATTTTTCTGTTTTCTTTCCTCTTTTTTCTCTTTCGTCTCTTTTTCGTTTTACGCCTTTCTTTCTTTTTACTTCTTTCTTTCTTTTGACTTCTTTCTTTCTTTTTCCCCCGTTTTCTTTGTCTCTCTCTTTCTTTCTTTCTTTCTTTCTTTTTCTCGCTCTTTCTTTCTTTCTTTCTTTCACTCTCTCTTTCTTTTTTCTTCTTTTCCTTTATTTTCTCTCTATCTCTCTTTTTATTTTTCCCTTTCTCTGTTTCTTTTCTCTTTCTTTCTTTCTTTCTTTTTCTTTCTTTTCCTTTCTTTTTTCTCTATCATTTTCTTTTTCCCTTTCTCTGTTTCATTTCTCTTTCTTTCTTTCTTTCTTTCTTTATTTCTTTGTCTCTTTCTTTCTCTCTCTTTCTTTTTCTCTCTCTCTCTCTTTCTTTCTTTTCTGTGTCGTAAAATAATTAGTACTCTCCCGTATATATAAGAAAAGAATGTAGAATTTGGCCGCATAGAAAGATAGGTAGTTTATACCGGAATAGTTTGTGAGAGCCTAGCTGCTTAAAAAATCAGCATCTGAAATTGCACCTAGGCTGGAACGTAGACGGATAGCACTGCATAAATAACCAAAAGAAGAATGTGGGATATTTAAACATGCCAAAAGTTAAAATGACAAATTATTTTAAATAACCGAGGTATATTTTGAGCAAAAATGATCTAAGACCCTCGCTTCGTGATTTATCGGAATTATTTTCATTCTGCATTCTTTAAGTATGTTATCTTTTTTCTTTTAACTTTAAATGACTTTAAATAATTAAGGTGTCCACTTCACCGAGAAATCTTATTTACCTTGGTCGTAATAAGCTTCTTTTTCTTGAAATCAAGTGGTGGTAATGAATATATCTAACCAAGCAGTTGCAATAAAATTTCAGATCGCGTGTTCCATCACCAAGCCTTCAACAAAGATATACGTACAAGTGCCTACTTTCTTGGTGCTTTACGCGACTGAGGGCAAAAAATACACCCATTGAGACACGGATCTGGCGCCTCCAGGAAGCTCACATGATCGTTTTTCGGAACGTTCAGCCGGTATTTAAATGTTACAGTAATGATTATGGCCGGCCAGGAGATGAAACTTGGCGTTTGTAGGTACTGGAAAGTCTGTTTAATCGGTAGGAAGAACACAAGTGGGCATAACCTGTGAAGTGTTATTAGACTGTGTCATGTTAACAATAGACATTTTTGGGAGTTTCTCGCCGACAACAACGAGAAATTATAGCAAGATAAACAAATAAAAATGTAGCAAGCTGCTTTATTTCTTTAAACAAGTACATTGGGATAGGTGTACTGATGCACCATAACTGACGTGTTCGTTTTTTTTCTTTGATAAAGTCTTTTCTTCGGACGGTTTTAATTCGAGCTTTTGATTCTCAATCTATATTAGTGAGAAGTTGTGCGATTGCCTTTAAATAATTCGTTTTATAGAAATTTCCGGTAACAAAGGGGATATAGTTTGTGGGACATTCAAATTCTGTATTTTATGTACCTCCACTAATTCGTTGAAAGAAGAGCATACCATGATGTATAAAATGCCCCAAACTTTATATAAACAAAGTGTTATGGTCTAAATCATTGTTTTTAATAAAAGAAAAGAGTAAAGTATTTTGGTGTCTTTTGTGGTAAAAAAAAAGAACACACATTGATTTAGAAATTCTTGCAAAAAATCAAATAATTGTCGGATTTTAATGAATCTTTCAGGACTTATTAAGAAATGAATGAAATAGTTTTAGAAATTTTTTTTCTTAGAAAAGCTTGGTAAATTTTGCATCTGTTACCTCCCCCCACACACACACACTTTCGAGAATTTGATTTTCACCTGCTTAACATTTTTCATCCTCCTAATATTCATTAGTTAAAAGCAGAACTCCTTGAAGAATAGAAATCATTCTTTTTTTCTTTTCTTTTTTGTGAAGCAGAAACATCGGAAAATAAAAGATGAAACAAAACGATGATATTATTTAATTAGAAAAGCTTGTAATTGCTTTTATAAATAAGATATATTAAGGACACTATTATCTCGAAAAAAAATTTTGATTTTTACAAGAATTGTTGCAATTTTTTTTTACTTTAATTAGAATAATTTAAGTTTTAAATTTCGTATTAATTTCTGTTTATCATCATACCCAGTAATATCTTTTAAAAGAACTTCATCAGATTAAAGTAATGTTCTTACTGGCTAATACTATTTTCCTTTCCTCAGTTACGTAACTCAGAAATATCAACTTATTATTTCTAATTGTGAGTATAAATGAATTTAGATCTGACCTGCCTTGAACTCTTGGCCAAGAATAAACCTCTGACCAAACAAAGCTTGAATAGTGCTTTTTTT